CATGTCCCTCTGCATTCTAGGAAACAAAAAGAAGTCCCCTGGAGCCAGGTCAGGTGAGTCAGGTACGTGGGGCGAGAGAAGCATGCTGTTTTTGCCAAAACATTGGAGCACTGAGCTGGCTGCGTGAGCAGGGACATGGTTGTGGTGGCAAAACCAGTCCCCCATCTGCCACAAATCAGGCCTTTTTGTCACACACGGTTACACAACCTCTTTAGAACCTCTAAATAGAAAGCTTGATGTACAGTCTGACCTGGTGGAATGAACTCCAAATGCACTATCCATCCTCCTCACATCAAAAAACCAAATGACATTGGCTTTAGGGGGTACTCCCTCGTAGATACCCCATCCTAAAAGAGGGGAAGCCAAGTTCCCCCTCTCCTGTGTGGACTGTGCACAGTGACGTCATTCTGTGGAAAGGTATCAAAACAGCAGCCCATGGACAGTGGAGAAACCTGGCAGACACTTTCAGTTGGGCGATCAAGCACATAATCACGTGTCCTCGCTGCTCCAGGGTCGATTCTGACGCAGTGACCCTAGAGGACAGAGTTGAACTGACCCTTTGGGTCTTGGAAACTGTAACTCTTAAAAAAAAAAAAAGAAAAGAAAAAGGCCCATCTTTCTCCCTGAGAGCTGCTGGTGGTTTAGAATGGCTGATCTTGAGGTTAGCAAGTCAACATGTAACCCACCATGCCACCAGGGCTCGAAGTGTGTCCCTCCTGTTTTGTTTTCTAATTCTATACTTTACTTTGTCCTCTGGAGGTGCCCGTAGAAATTTTCTGGTCTGCTCTTTCACGCCATCATTTCTTCCATTTGCCGTAGCTACTCTATGATTGCGAGCAGGTTCCAGAATCTCTCCTGACATCCATTTGGATCTTTCTGTCCTGTTTTGTTAATGACCTTTTGCTTTTATTATTTTATGATGTTCTTGATGTCATTCCATAGCTTATCAGATCCTCGGTCATTTGGGTGTTCGATGCATCACATCTGTTATTCAGATGTTCTTGAAATTCAGGTGGCGCATACTGTATGGTTGTATTTTGGCTCTCATGGACTGGTTTCCATTTTCTCAGCTTCAACCTGGACTTACATATGAGCAATTGATAGTCTGTGTATTAGTCTCGGTACGTTAGAGAAATAAATCCACAGCAACTCATGTATAAGAGAGTTTTATGTAAAGAAAGTATGCATCACGAAAACATCCCAACCCAATGCTGCCCAAGTCCACAAGTCCAACATTAACCCATTAACCCAACACCAGTCCACAAAGTCCTCCACCTCACAAAACAGAGGCAATGATGCCGACTGCAGGAGGAAAGCTGAGTCAGTGAACGAACAAGCATCTCAGCACTAGCAGGGGTCTCCACACCGCTGCTCCAGCACCCAGGGCTGCATCGGGATAGGTCCATGTGGCTTCTTCTTGGGGATATCTTGTAGGAAGTCAATCTTGCAAGCTGAAGCAGGGAACTGCTAAGGCAGCTGCACCCTGATGCGACCATCACAAAGAAAGAGACCCAAGAGGTAGAAAGGCGAGGCTTCACCACCCATTTATCCCTCCGCCTTTCAATTAGCCCCACACGTGATTATTGGCCAGGTTGGCCCAATGAACTAACTCAGTCTGTTTCACAGTTGACCCCTGGACTCTCGTTTTAGAGCTATTGAGCTTCTCCATCTTCTCTTCCCACAGACATAGGAAATTTGATTTCTGTGTGATCCATCTGAAGAATGCACACAGACAGCTGTCTTTGTGTTGCTGAACGAAGCATTTGTGATGAAGAGGTCATTGGTCTTCTTGGATCAAGGGGCAGTTGTTCGAACAGAACAAGGACATACTGCAGTTTCAAATCAAGAAATCTGTGCATCAGGGTTGCATCCTCTCATCATACTTAGTCAATCTGTTTGCTGAATAATCAGAGATGCTGGATTCTATGAAGAGGAATGCAGTAACAGTATTATTATTATTTTTTTTAGTAACAGTATTAGGTAGGCTTATTAACAGTCTGTGATATGCAGGTGACACAACCTTGCTTGCTGATGGGAGGAGGACCTGGAGTGCTTGCTGATGAAGATCAAGATCACAGCTTTTCATATGAATTACAGCTCATTGGAAAATGAAACTCCTCACAACTGGACCAATACATAACATCATGATAAATGGAGAAAAGATGGGCATTGTTAGGATTTCATCTTGCTTAGAACCGCTGCACAAGACTCTAAAGTGTTGAAAAGCAGGGATGGTACTTTGAGGACTTTGGTGTGCCTGACCCCAGCCATGGTGTTTTCAATCCCCTCATACGTGTGTGAAAGTTAGCCACTGACTACCAACGAAGAACCGATGCATTTGAATGATGCTGGCAGGGATAGTGAGAGTTCCGTGGACTGCTGAAGGGACAGACACATCTCTCTTGGACGAATGTTCCTCAGAAGCACGGATGGTGAGACTTTGTCTCATGTATGTTGGACATATGATCAGGAGAGACCATGGGGAGGGAGGGGAAAAATGAGGACCTAATGCCGGGGGCTTAAGTGGAGAGGAAATGTTTTGAGAATGATGCGGGCAATGAATGTACAAATGCGCTTTACACAATTGATGTATGTGTGGATTGTGATAAGAGTTGTATGAGCCCCTAATAAAACGATTTAAAAAAATTAAGAAGAAAAAAAAAAAAAAAAAGAAAGGCGGTCTATAAGACTCTTGGCCAGTAATCCTCAAAACTTGCAGTCATGAGGGAAAAAAGGTAAGTTTGAGAAACTGTCACAACTACATGTCACATGTTCTGGACGGGATCCTCGGTCAGAGAGCGACAGTAGGTAGAAACAAAGGTAATGTGAACAAAGTATAGCCTGTCCGTAATGATATAGTTATCCTGGTTTAATAATTCCGCGAACATACACCATTACAAGAAGTTAAAAGCAGTGTGTTGGGGGCGGTGATTAAATGGGGCTACATGAGAACTCTATGCTACTCGATCAATTTTTCTGTTAACCTCAAACTGTTATTAAAAAAAATGAAATCAAACATTGACAGTAGAAGAGATGGGATGGGGGGGGACACAGTACCCCCCAGGCCTCAGGCCGGCTGGAGCATTGTCTTAGATCTCCTCTGTCATTTGCGTTTCCCTCAGACTTTGGGGGCATTCCTATTGCATCTAGGCCCCTCAGGGGAGAGCTTATCCTATATATTCTCGTCCACGTTTGTAGAGCTCTCCCCCACATGCCACAGTGATCTCATTTACCCATGACTTCAGTCACTACCCATCTTCTAGAGACTTCCAAATCTCTTGGGCCTGGGCCCTGGTTCATCCAATTTTCTATTACACAGCGCCCTCTAGACGTTCAATTCAACACGTCCCAACAGAAACCCTGACTTCTAAAGCCTGTGCTTCCTGCCTCTCACTGGGAAGCTGCACCCTGGGCCCCACCCAGACGGCTCTTCCTCACAGTGCCCTCTGTCCCTCCATCCTGTCAGTGCCTCCTGCTCAGCCTTCTGGTGCTGTGTCCTCCCCATCACCGAAGGCAGGCCTTCAGCACAGCTGGGCCATCTGCTTTCCAGCGACCCTTATGCCTTTCCGAGCTCCATTCCTCCTTTTCCCATCTCCATAGCGTGGGAAAATCCATCACTAGTCTTTGGACGCATACCAGGCAGTTCTATGGCTCCCTTCCACTGTAACCTCTCCTCAGGAAGTCCTTTGTGTGGTTATTTAGCTTTGAGTTTCAGGCAGATTCACCAGAAATTCGTGACAGTGTAAACACAGTAACATACTGGGGGGAGAGTCCATTTTAAGAGTTCTGACTAGGTGAGCCCAGTTTTCTCAATGTTCAGATGGACACACACACACAAGAACCACCTTTGAAGGGGGTAATCAAAATTAGCCGCCACAAAAATGGCTGCAGAGACCACAGGAGCCCTGAGGACCATAAGCACTAGATGGCAAGTCCTGGGCTTTCGCTGCTGACAGCCCTGAAAGGAGCCTTAATAGAAGCTATTGGATGGATGTTGGGTGAACAAAACTCGAAGTCATTTAAAAAAAGACCAGGCTGACCGTCTGGTGGAATCTCCAAGAAGAGAGCCCTTAGGCAGCTTTAAAGCTGGGAACTGAACTTCCTTGTGGCTCAGCTTCCAGCCCAAAGACAGAGACCTAGGAAGGAGGTGAACAGAACACTGGGCGTCAGCATTCCCTGGAACACTCAACGCAGGCAGGGAAAGGGCAGCATTTGTGCCTGGATACAGCTCACCGGGAGGGATGGGAACTGGCTAAGGGAAGAGGTAAACACAGGGAACTGGGAAGAGTGTTGCTACACTGTGGGCATTACAATGTGTCACCAGACGAAATGTTGCATGGAAAGCCAATTCACTCTGTAAACTTTAACCAAAAAAAAAGATGATTACAGGGCCTATTAAAATTAAGACCTGAAATAAAAGTACAGATTTTAATAAAGTACAGATCGCCAGGAAAACTAGAAATGTGTTTTATAAAAGTAATTAAAAATAAAAATCTTGAAATTTAAAGAAAAAAAAAATTAAATAATGTGCTCGTTGCATAGGCACCTACGACACCAGGTGTGTAATAATAAATCCTTCCGAGCCAGCCAGGAGTCGAACCTGGAATCTTCTGATCCGTAGTCAGACGCGTTATCCATTGCGCCACTGGCCCCAAGACGGGGAAGGCTGGCTCATTGATGACACTTCAAGCTTATACTGCAGGGCTTCATGGGACGTGTAGTTTTAACCAATGCGGCCAAAGTATGAAGTATTCTGGGAAATTGAAGTTTGTCGCGAACCCGATTGGTGGGTTTTCGGGAGCCACGCCATACGTCACTGTGCAGCCCTCGGATTGGCGGGAGGAGGCATTTCCCGCCTTCTCCGGCTCCTCTTCGCGAGTTGAGGAAGACGCTCTGGTTGTTAGGGCAACTGGTCCCGCCTTCCGGTTTTTTTTTCCTCCTCGGGTTTTGATTGGCTGCTGGTATCAAGGAATCCCGGCGTGGACCGCGGGAGGGGAAAGATGGCGGCAATGGCGGTCGGGGGTACCGGGGGTAGCCGCGTGTCCAGCGGAAGGGACCTGAATTGTGTCCCCGAAATAGCTGATACGTTGGGGGCTGTGGCCAAACAGGGGTGAGGACCTGGGCCTCCGCGAGTGTAACGCGGGGCCCGAACTCGCGGCCCGCGAGGGCGGACGAGTTAGTCATCTCCGAGAGGCAGGGGTGAGGGAGTCGGCGTGGGGAGCAGGGAGGCGGGAGGTGCCTCGCTTCCACGAGGAGAGAAAAGAAACTTGCGGGCGTGTGTGGTCACTGGGCCCAAAAGCCAGGGGGACTGCTGAGTCCCCCCAGTACCGGGATCGGAGGGCAGAGTTGCCTGGGAGTGGGGGCCAGTGCTGGAGAGGAGGAGGGAGGGAGGCGTGGGCATCGTGGGGCACATTTGGATGTGACAGTCCAGAAGGCCAGTGGCAACAGAGCAGGAAGAATTCGACTTGGCTTGGGTTTCCCCCGCTTACTCATCTTCTCCATGCTTTTTGGGGGTGCAGGGGGGCACAATGCAGCGGTATTGGTATACTCCACCGTGGCTGAACGCCGCCGCAGCCCCGTGGGGTGACGGATGGCAAACGTAAAGGGCTCTGCTGAACTGAGGTAGTCTAAAGCCACCTGCCTGGATCTCTCTTTACGTAGTGACTCTGGGTCTGTCGCGGTTGTAGGTTTGATTTCCTGTGCATGCCTGTCTTCCACCCGCGTTTCAAGAGGGAGTTCACTCAGGAACCTGCTAAGAATCGGCCTGGTCCCCAGACACGATCTGACCTACTGCTGTCAGGAAGGGGTAGGGACCATTCCATGCGCCCCTTGATTGTTGGAGGCAGTAACAACCTCTTCTTTATCAGGGTCCTTATTCACTAACTTTCCTGACCTGGGAATATTGACTAGCCCCCTGGGAATCAGATCCTCCTTATTTCCCCCCATGCTTACTTGAGGAAAGCCTTAACTGCTCTGTTCTGGATCCAGCTGTCCTGATAGAAAAAGCCCTTGTCTCATTTCTCTCCCGTTCCCTGCTAAGAACGATGCTTTTTAGCAAGAGTAACATGCTGAGCCTCATTCCGTTTCTGTCTGTCTTGTCTGGGTGATTGCAGACTGGAATACACTAATCGTTGGCAAGCTGTCGCCATGGATTCGCCCAGATTCAAAAGTGGAGAAGATTCGCCGGAACTCAGAGGCGGTAAGGGTATTTCACATCGCCACAGGCTCTTTCTAATGAGGTGACCTGTCCCTGAGCTGGGTGTGGAAAGCAGTTTTTCCTCTCATAACTTGGTGGCTCAAGTGTCTGATATAATTGAGTGAAAGCAACTTGGGTGGTTACCTCTTAACCGTCTCCTGTTAATCTCCCATGTCCAGGCCATGTTACAGGAGCTGAATTTTGGGGCATATCTGGGACTCCCAGCTTTCCTGCTGCCCCTCAATCAGGAGGATAACACTAACCTGGCCAGAGTTTTGACCAACCACATCCACACTGGCCACCACTCTTCTATGGTATGTATGCTGGGGGCTCTTCTCCTGTTGTGTCGTACCTGGCTGTGCTGGGTGTCTTCTTGTGCCTAGCCATTCAGTGTTTGGTGCGCCGCAGGCTGAGTTAAAGCCTTAGCACTGGCCACCCTCAAATGAAAAGTGATACGCAGACGGTTGCGAAACACAGAACATGGGATATTTTATGTCCAGAAACTTGAGTCGAAATAAAGGACAAGGCAGACATGTCCACAAGTCCAGACACAGGTACATGTCCTTGTGTACACGCCTAGAATCTCACATTGGGGACGACACGACTTGTCTGGTGTGGCTCATGTAAGACTGCAGCAAGCCTTCTGGACTCGGTGGGTTGAAAGGGGTGGTCTACATCGGGTTCCTCTGTGTGTGCAGTTCTGGATGCGAGTGCCCTTGGTGGCACCAGAGGACCTGCGGGACGATGTCATCGAGAACGCACCAGCGACACACGCAGACGAGTACAGCGGGGAGGAGAGGACCTGGATGTGGTATGTCTCGCTGGTGCTCTTCTGTAAAGGCAAAGACTGGGGGCGGGGAACTATAGGTGGAACCTTTAGGGAGGGCTCCTGGGAGCTTAGTCAGTTGGGAGCCCTCTAAATTTGTCTCGATTGTACCGTCCCTGACCCTGCACAGGTGGCACAACTTCCGCACTTTGTGTGACTACAGCAAGAGAATTGCAGTGGGTAAGTCCGGGCTCCTGGGTTAGGTGTGCCTTCTTCAAGGCCTCTGACTAGGAATCGGGAGTTACAGTGTCGTGTGCTGCTGGGGCAATTTTGCTACTTTGCTACTTTCGCTGCACCTCAGTTGGCCGTGCTCCTAAAAAAAAGTAGTGAACGGACCTCGTAGAAAGGAACGAAGAAGGGCTTCTTGCCTGGCAGACGTTGACTGGTTTTTCTTTCTCTTTCCTTGTGGAGCTCTTGAAGTGGGGGCTGACCTCCCATCTAATCATGTCATCGATCGTTGGCTTGGGGAGCCCATCAAAGCAGCCATTCTCCCCACCAGCATTTTCCTGACCAATAAGAAGGGGTTTCCTGTTCTTTCCAAGATGCACCAGAGGCTCATCTTCAGGCTCCTCAAGGTGAGTGGGACCCAAACCAAGGTCACTGCCGCCAAGTCAATGTGGACTCATAGCAACCCTTACCCCCAAGGCAGGGTAGGACCAACTGCTCCTATGGGTTTCCAAGGCGGTCACTGTGTACGGGAGTAGAAAGTCCCATTTTGCTCCCGTGGAGCGACTGGTGGTTTTGAACTGCTGGCTTTGCAGATCGCAGCCCAACACGTAATATAACCACTACGCCACCAGGGCTCCCAGAGGGGGGGGCTGGAGCTGTGTTCAGATGTGTGTGCTGCTGCTTTTGTTTCCCCATGAGGCTGACTCTTCCTGAAGAGCTATTTCCATAAAGTTGGTGTCGAAGGTGTTAAGGCAAATGGCAGTGGGAGCCCCCTCAAAGCTTTCCAGCAGAACCAGACCTCTGGAGAACTATGCAGATGCTTTGTTTAAGAAGTTACAGCAGCGATCCACGGGGACTTTGAAACCAGGAGGATTCTCACTGGGCAGAAAAGGACTTTATAAGCTCAGGAGGGGGTGAGGGGGTGGGGCCAGGAAGCGGAGAGCTGCGGCTCTGGCTCGTTTTGGCCGGAAGCTGTAAGAGCAGCCCCAGAATCTTGGTTCGAGGGCTGACTGTCTGGCTCTTCTCCCAGCTGGAGGTGCAGTTCATCCTCACTGGCACCAACCACCACTCGGAGAAGGAGTTCTGCTCCTATCTGCAGTACCTGGAATACTTGAGCCAGAACCGCCCGCCACCCAATGCCTACGAACTCTTTGCCAAGGGCTATGAAGACTACCTGCAGTCCCCACTCCAGGTAGGTCTGGAGCACTCAGGGGAACTCTGGGGTGGGGGTTGGTTGGGGGGGGTTCCGGGGGATGTGTCGGGAGAACGAGTGCCCTGAATCCCTTCCCAAACTCAGGAGGGGCAGTATGAAATTTTTGGTGTTCTCAGGCATCCCCCCCCTCCCCCCTTAGAAATTGGCTTACCTTGTCTTTTTCTTTTTTTTCGATCATTTTATTGGGGGCTCATACAACTCTTATCACAATCCATACATACCCCCCCCCTTAGAAATTGGCTTACCTTGTCTTTTTCTTTTTTTTCCATCATTTTATTGGGGGCTCATACAACTCTTATCACAATCCATACATACATCCATTATGTCAAGCATATTTGTACATTTGTTGCCATCATCATTCTCAAAACATTTGCTTTCTACTTGAGCCTTTGGTATCAGCTCCTCGTTTTTTCCTGTTTACCCACTTTTCTGTTGTCCACCCCCAGGGAGGAGGTTATATGTAGATCCTTGTAATCGGTTCCCCCTTTCCACCCCACCCTCCCTCTACCCTCTTACCTTGTCTTTTTCATCTCTTTTGTTAGCCGCTGATGGACAACCTCGAATCGCAGACGTACGAAGTGTTTGAAAAAGATCCCATCAAATACTCACAGTACCAGCAGGTACCGTGCGGGTCCCAGGCCGGGGCAAGTGTGGGGCCAGGGTCCCCTGGGTGAGTGGGTGATGGCCAGGAGTCCCTTCCTGCTGAAGCCTCCTCCCCTTCCCCTCCCCAGGCCATCTATAAATGTCTGCTGGACCGAGTACCCGAGGAAGAAAAGGAAACCAACGTCCAGTAAGTGTTCTCCCTGCCACCCCAGGGACTCACCTGCCCCTGCTCTAGATGCAAGTCCAGGTGACTCGCGCGCGCTCGCGCGTCCTTTCTCAGGGTGCTGATGGTGTTAGGAGCAGGCCGAGGTCCCCTGGTAAACGCCTCCCTTCGGGCAGCCAAGCAGGCAGACAGGCGGGTCAAGCTGTACGCCGTGGAGAAAAACCCAAACGCCGTGGTGACGTGAGTGGCTTCCCTGGCAGTGCCTCTGGCCTCATTTCCTCCCAGTGTCCTCACCCGCAGCTTCTGTCCTAGGCTGGAGAACTGGCAGTTTGAAGAATGGGGGAGCCAGGTGACGGTCGTCTCTTCTGACATGCGGGAATGGGTGGCTCCCGAGAAGGCAGACATCATTGTCAGTGAGCTGCTGGGTTCCTTCGCCGACAACGAGCTGTCCCCTGAGTGCCTGGATGGAGCCCAGCACTTCTTAAAAGGTGCCTGCCCCCTGGGGTGGCGGCAGGCAGGAAGGGATGGATTTACCGAGTTGGGGAGGCTGGGCAGGGGTGGGGAGCACAGGGAGGAAACCTGAGAGGGGGCTATAAGGTTGAGGGGAAGGTGGGTTGGGCCTGGGTCCAATCCTAGAGGTTTGAAACCTGCTGCTCTTGCTGGCTCTGTGACTAGCAGTGCCGCCGTGTGTCAATCTCCATGTGTGTATCTGGGAAGTGAGAAGAGGGTGGAGTCCGGGTTTCTGCTTGAGCTCTGTGGACGTCCCGAGCTGACGTGTAGCTGCTCTTAGTTAGCTTTCATTAGACTCTCAAAGGGTGTTGTTCCCCACGAAGGTTACAGACCGGGAACGATTCCCCGACAGCTCAGGTTCCTCCCAGTTTTAATCTTTTCTGTGGCACTGCACGTGGAATCCCCCCTGACAAGAGTATGGGCGCAGGCCGGCCCAGGAATGTGATGGGAGGCGGGGTCTGTTTTGATGTTGAAGGGCGCGTTGGTAGAGCCTCAGTTAGTAGGGCATATACACCACTTCTCTCCCATGGGAACTGGTCTGACCCTCCTGCCCTGCAGATGATGGGGTGAGCATCCCTGGGGAGTACACCTCCTTCTTGGCGCCCATCTCTTCCTCCAAGCTGTACAATGAGGTCCGAGCTTGTCGGGAGAAAGACCGAGACCCTGAGGTAAAGAGCCCTCTTCTGGAAGGAACCCAGTTCTCTTTAGAGAAAAGTTTTCCTGTTTTGATGTTCAATGATTTTCTTCTCCGGGGAAGGGAAAGGGGAGGGGTGTTGGAAGATAGTCGTTGAAATGAAACCGTTTTTATGTTTACCCTTGCCTGTCTTCTCCAGCTCTCAGCTTGTTTTCTCTCTCTCTCTCACGTGGGACAGGCCCAGTTTGAGATGCCCTATGTGGTGCGGCTGCACAACTTCCACCAGCTGTCTGCACCACAGCCCTGTTTTACCTTCAGCCATCCCAACAGAGGTGAGTTCTTGCCTGGCGGGCTGACTCCACGGGTGTGAGCACACCTCTTGGTCTCTGCCTTTGCCGCCCAGGACTGCGCTGTTCCAGCGTCCCTTTGAGGTATTCTTATTCAATGTCCCTAAGGCCCTGGCGCCGTACCATCCACACACCTCTTCCCTGACAGATCCCATGATTGACAACAACCGCTACCGCACCTTGGACTTCCCCGTGGAGGTGAACACAGTGCTGCATGGCTTTGCTGGCTACTTCGAGACAGTGCTTTACCAAGACATCACTCTGAGTGAGTGTGTGGGCCCTGACGGGGCCCATGGGCCCACTGCCTGGGCAGCAAATGCACACGTTGGTGTAGGTGCACTGGAGTACAAGGGTCAGTGGGTGAAGACTGGTAATGACCTGTTTTGTCAGGTCACAGTTGAGAGCCCTGTTCAGAAGAGGCAGAAGGCTGAGTGGTAGAGCGTTTTCTCTTTTTGTTATTTTGTCCACACAGGTATCCGTCCCGAGACTCACTCTCCTGGGATGTTCTCCTGGTTTCCCATCCTCTTCCCCATTAAGGTAGGAGCCACCTTTACGACTCTGTACATGGGCTAGATCTCACCTGTGGTGTCCCTGTCTCTCTCCTTCTCCCAGCATGACCCATATTTTACTGCTCTCACATGTTCTTGGAGCCCCGAGTAGATCTTTGGTGATCTGTAGTGACTTCCCCCTGGTCGCCTCCCAGCGGCTTCCTCTGCTGCCCATTCTCTACCTTGAGCAACAGTGTTCGAAAGGCAAACCTGATCATATTTCTTTCCTGCTTAAAACACCTTCAGATGCTTACCCTAGTCCGCAGGATAAAGACAAATTCTGAACGTGGCATCTAAGGCTGGCAGCCCAATGTGGTTCTTGCGTGCCTTGTCTGCTGCCGCCCTCCTGCATTGCTTCTTTGGTTCTCTGAGCCTTGAGTGCTGTTTGCTTTCAGCCTCAGAATTTCACAAGGTTTTTTCTCGGCCAGGACAGGTCTTTGCTCCTCTCTTCACCCCGTGAAATTCATCTTCGAGGTCTCTTCCTACTGTCAAACATTCTCTAGCTTCTGAGGCCAGCTTAATGTTACCGATCCTTCTCTAAGGATGTAGCATAGCACCCTGTACGTGTTGAAAACACCGCCCTGGGATGTTCATTCAGTGTGACATCGTTCATTGTTGAGGGCGACTTCACTGAGCTTCTCGTGCCCTGCCACGTCACACTCGAGAGCCTCAGCCCTGAACCTGAGCCCTGCTGTGTTTGTTTCCCTGCAGCAGCCCATCGCGGTGCGCGAAGGCCAGACGGTCTGTGTGTGCTTCTGGCGCTGCAGCAGTTCTAAGAAGGTGTGGTATGAGTGGGCCGTGACAGCCCCAGTCTGCTCTGCCATTCACAACCCCACCGGCCGCTCATACACCATCGGCCTCTAGCCCTGCCTACAAGTGCCCAAAGCCGTGGAAGCAGCTTCCGGTTGTGCTCCTCTAGCTCAGAAGGTGCAGTGATCACGGGGCCGTGGTTCCCCTTGGCCATCCGAGAGGAGGCTGCCGGTCTGCTTTCCTGCCTCACACCAAAGTGGGCCGAGGATGAGACTTTGTTGCAGGGCTCACGCTACCAATCTGTGACGACTTCAGGCCAGGACTTGAAGAATCCAGCTGGGTCTGAAGTCAGTCACCACCACCAGGCCCTCCGCCTCAAGAGCTCCCTGGGAGTCCTAAGAACATTTGGATGGAATGCATTTTCAGCCCTTTCTCTATCCATCTCTGTTCCCATTTTGGTGGTTTGTGTAGGAGGAAATACAAATAAAGTGAAGTTGTGGCCTTTCCTGCTCTGACCTCGCTGCCCCTCTATTTTTCTCACACCTCACTTCACACTTAACGCTGACTCGTAGTTGTTGGTTATTCGATAGGCTAGGGTAGGACTGTCCTAGAGAGTTTCCAAACTCATCTTAAGGGATGGAGGCAGACTGGCACGTGTTTCTCTGATGGACTGGCTGCCGAGTTCACGCTGGGTCTTTTAGTTAGCTAGCAGTCGAGCGCTTTAACCGACACCTCACTTGGACTCACCTGTACTCAGCTTTGTGCCCTTGTGTTGTCCAAGACCCACGGAGGCCTAGATCTAGTCCCTGTTCTAAAGGTGACTTGGACCCCTGGCCATAGACCTTTCTGAGACTTTTGTTTAAAACCGCCGGAGAGATTGTCCTCACTGTACAGCAAGTGTATAGGGCACTGACTTGGCCTGAGGATGTGAACTCGGGATCCAGTGGGGCCCATAAAACGCACTAGCCAGGAGGACAGATTTGTGACAAGTCCTGCACATCCCAGGCATTGAACGCCGCAGGAGGTAGCACCCAGCAAATAATGGGAACGGGGAGTGATACATCTATAACGTCCTGGGGAGCGAAGACGACCCTCAGGAAATTCTTAGGGTCCACCAAGCACACCTATCACAGTTTCCACCCTGGCTCCGCCTGCCGCGCTGACCTAGCCCACCCCCCAGTGTCAGACTAGGATGGATCCGATGGGGTCCTGTCCGCTGGGCTTTGATCCGCCTTCCGCGTGTGATTTAACCAATGAGAGTGGTGAGCGGCTTCAGAAGCCGCCGGGTTTCTGAGAGGCTAGCCAATCAGTGACGAGTTGGTGGTTGCTATGAGACATTTCAGGTTGGTTCCACCCAAGCTTGGGGTGTCAGCCAATGAGAATCTACTTTGGCCGGTTGCCACGATACCGGTGAGCGACTCGACGCATGCGCAAGCCGGGCCCGGTGCTGGGAGCCCGCTGCGCGGCCGCCGTTTCGCGGGAAGAAGAGCAGCTCCGGCTGCGCTTATTCCTGACACTCTGGGAGATATCGCGCCTCGCACCCCCCCGGAGAGGGCCGGGAGCCCTCTGCGGGGACCCGGAACTGGTGAGAACCCCCAAACCCAGTCCTCCCCCCCCGCTCCGCCACGTCACCTTTGCGTGACGGCGCCCCCCTGACGTCACGAGCGGTGTCGGGCGGCCACTTGCCCGCTGGGTCTGGTGATCTGAAAGGGTTCGCGGCCGCGTGCCGTGGCTGGCGCGGGCTTAGGGACGGCCCCTCGTGGGGCCC